TGCTCCCTCTCAGCTCCTCAGGCCCTACTGCAAATGGCTTTGGCTCTCTAGAGTGCTGCTTAGGAGGCAACTGTACACATCAGTGTGTTATCATTGTTGCTTTTCCTAGAATGAAAACATAGTGTCACACCAGACACTCTGAAGAGAACAATTCCATCCCAGCTGGAACTAAGAAACCTGTCAGTATGTGTAAGGTTGAGATGGTGAAAGTTCCTTTTGTGCTCACTAGTTGTTTATCTGCCTTTCATCTCAGGGCAGGTCATCTTGTTGGGCTGATCTACTTCACACTGATACGATGTCCAAAGTTCATTACTGAAGCTTTAGTATTCTGAAAAGCCCTAATTGTAGTTCTCACTTAAAGTACTTTCAATAGCAACAGGACTTCCTAGAAAGGATCTATATTTTATATTGAGCTTGCTGTTTTCAATTTGTTCTAATTTCCTCATCTTAAATCATGTGATTGACTTTTAAGTATTTAAAGCTGTCTGGGGCAGTGATCTCCAAACTCTTCTCATCACACACCCTTAATCAGAAAAGAAATTTCTGATGTATGTACATTTTTTTTTTACTATATGCACATTTGTTTATAAATTTTATACACGTACTACTGTGCTAATATGGTCTATGCATTATGAAACATGCATGAGAAAGAGGAATGAAATATTGTGTTTCTCTTGGCAAGGGGAAATGTAGTAGTGGTAATGGTAATTGTGAAACTCTTGCTGCTGTGCCACTTGTTAAGAAAAGTCTTCAGACAGTATCTGGCTTGAACTGTATTCTGTCTTTTCACCGATGTGAAGCTTAAGTGATTTAATTTTAGTGTGGTTTAAAATGTGGCTGGATGTTTCTGTGTGGGTGGGAGCCCCACCCCCAATACACAACCAATTGAAAAAGCTTTCTCAGAAGATACTTCAGTCAAAGAACACAGGTAACTAAGGTAATTCCCATTGATTGTATATGATAGACTGACTTGCTGTCAGATGTTGAGAGAGATTGTTCTAGATCCTGTGCAATTGTATATGCACATGTAATTATATATAAGTTCTACATACAAATCACGTATTCCATGGGATTCTCTCTCTGTTTATGTTTACACCTATACATTGCCTACCCTCTGAATATGCTGTCTACAAGTAATCTTAAATATACACGTGACTGAAGTTATCATAGGCACAACTGAAGAAAAATATCAAATAATATTATGACGGAACTGTTACTGAGACGAAGTATTTTGGCCAACTCTGCAAATGAAAGCTTAGAAAAAGGATTGCTTACGGTATTGAATTGAATACGGTAACGTTTTGAAAAAGGAAGACCTTTATTTTTCTCTCGGATCTTCATGGAGGAAAAAAGATTGCAGGAGAAAGAGGGTAGGGATGATTCACCGTGCTCCCTGATGCAACTGACGTAATCCTAAATGATTCATTTATTGTGCCAGTTGACACATCATGAGTTTCTCTTTTAGGGTTGCATGATTCACTGTGAAATTTTAGCAGTCCGTGTAGAGATTGTTAGCAATTGAGAATTCTCTGCTTTTAGATGTAAATAGCCCTTGATCTTATGGAGAGTAATAAGAGTTGGAAGGTAACATCTGAGTGTGTCTCCACCCCTACATGTATACATGGACTTGAAACGTAACAAGACAGGAAACCAAAGACACCTGTTCTATTCATTTTTCAAGTATTTTGCTATTCTGTACTGTTCTGAGTCTTAGAATAGGTTCAATTTGCAAGTTAGAAGCATGAGTGTACTCTGAAAAGTTCAAAAGAGCCCAGCTTGTGGATGGGAAGGTAGAGGCTGGGGGTGGGACTCTCATTATTACCTAGGAAAGTTTTTATGTAGCCACAGTGACTTAACAAACTACTTTTACTATGCTATTGGCACATCTACTGTCTTCTGTTTTTGGATTTCTGACCTTGGCTTGTCAGAACACCTAACTGTATCCCTATAGGCATATTTTGCTAATACATCTTTTATTTGATTAGCATCACTGCAGAGCTCTGTTTGGTGGTCAGCCCCACAAGCTTTGTGCTCTGCTGTCTGGCCTCCTGCTAAGTGGAAGTTAGCTGCATGGCAGTAAGAACATCTTGTGCAGAGCAAAAATAGCTTACGTATGCAGTTAGAGGTAATATTTCAGTTGCTTCAGCTGAAAGTGGGGCTTGCAGTACTTTGCATTTGATTTAAAGTGCACTTCATTTGGCTGAATTCTTTAATTCGAATTAAAGTTTTTTTTGGCCTTGGGTTCTTGTCAGTAAATTGGTTATGTGGTTTCCACTTATATTTTTGGTTAGGGTTTTTTTTTTTTTTTAGTAGAATCTGTGTTCCAGCACTTAAAGAAGCATTTATTTGTATATATTGTCGATGTCCTCATATAGCTTTTTTTTCTCCAAAACAGAGTTATTTGCACCAGAAATAAAACCTTCCATAATGTTTCATAACTGATGATCTCCAAAATAGTGCCCTAGATTAAGATGTTCCTAATTTTGCAATATTATCCTCTCTTAAATTGGTGGGAGCTGGTCTAGGCCATTTCTTGGTTTTTTTCTCATGCATTACTGTGTTCACAGAGATAACTGGTTATGTACACTGTATCTAAGACAGTATGGTTGCATGTATTTATAGAGTGTAAGGTTTATGGTTTCATTTCTCTTCAGTTTCTACTTCTGACCTTAGTATAGCTTGGATGCACTGTGATACTGTGGTTTCTCTGGAAATGTAAAAGAACTAACTGAACTAATACTAGTAACCTCTAATAGATAGGTAGCTCCTATGAAGGTATATTACTAATTTTTAACATATTAAAACATGTCAGAATTTTTCCACTGATGCAAGTGGCCTTTAAAACAAATCCCCTTGTGTGCTGACTGCAGTAAAAGATCTGATGTATGGTTACAGGATGCATATTGCTCCTAGGCCAAAATACAGGTGACTTTTGAACCTCACTGTATTTTTCTGTCCCTGCTGCAAGGGGAGTAACCCCCTGCAACGCACAATGCCTGTGTCAGAGCTGGGACCTCTCTAAATTCTTTTGTGCCTCCCTGTGATTTTTTACACAGTGTTACTTGGCTAGAACAGAAATACAGAGATAAGATCTCTCTTATCGTTATTGTAATTATGGAATGTGTTTGGGGAATAAATCTTCTCTAAATGAGATTTTTCAGAAGCAATTGGCATTACTGTAGCTTTGATCCCCGGAGAGAAAGAAAAAAGCTGTTTATCACAGCTTTTACTGCGAGAAAAGACAGGCCAGTGCTAGACATCTCAGATTTAAATATATATACATTAAAGTGTGTGTGTGTGTGTGTAAGTGTGTTTAGTTGAAATGCCCTACTGACAGCAACCACATTTTGGTTTTATTCATTACAATTACCTACCAAGTTCATGTCCCTTCCTGTTGCCATTTAGCTTGATCTGCCTTTTGTCAAGCGAAGTATTTTCAGCTGTTGACTCTCCCTGCACAGTTTGCTAGGTATGCTGAATCATGTAACACCTTTGTGAGGTGAAGAACTTACTACTGAGAATTTGCAACGTAAGCGTGATTGCAAGTTGAAGTGAAGGGGCGAGAAAAAGCCATTGAATGTGTGACTGGCCTAGTATATTAATGAACCAGTTTAAAGGACTTGTACCGAGTAAGACTTCCAGATAAAAAGTCAGAGATAACTTAGGCATTTAGACAAGACCTGCATGCATGCCTTAACTTTCTTTTCTGAGTCCTTTAGTAGGTAAGCAAGCACAACATGGTCCTAGACCTTGCAGATGGGTCCATTTTGAACAAGGCCATACACATGAAACTTGCTGCCATGAAGTCCTGTTTGATTGTTCCAAGGCTGAAGGTTTTCAGAAGATCTTTTCAACTATAAAATCAGCTTCTTTATATAGATTTTGCGTAAGAATAGATAGAATTAATAGATATTGCGTAAGAATTTTTGAATACTAAAAATCCCATCCTCGTTCACTACTGAAAGCTAAGTCTGCCTGACAGCATTCCATTTTTAAAGGCAGATTGACATTTTGATGCATGGAAACAAATGAATAATGTTGTGTCATTGCTTTACTTGCACTGTTGTTTCGTGGTTTATGGGGGTAAGGATTGGTAGGGGTGTTACAACTTACATCCTCAGGGCTTTCACTGTATCAGACATCTTTCGGTGACCTTCCTGCTCAAAGGATGTTATTTCTGAAGTCCTCACTGTTCTTCCTCCCAGTTAAGTTCCATTATGTATTGCCAATAACAATGCCTTGTCACTTTGCTGGAGGGGAAATTAAGTAATGTGCGTTCCAGTTGCCGGAAGAGGGATGATGCAGTAAAAATATTTCGGCTAACCTTAAAAGCATGCATTCACTTAATGGCTAAAAATTGGATGCTTCCTTTTAATGCTTAGTTTTTTACAGATGAGTTTGAGAATGCCAGGAGTAGCCCAGCGGATAAAGCCATTTCTATAGGGGGTGGATTAATCTCTTTAGAAATGCTGCTAGTACCATGCAGTTCATGAAAGCAATGTAGTTGCCTTAGTTCTTCTCAGAAGTTCACTCAGCTGTAAGTAGGGTAAAGCATTTGGATCCTGGGGTGTTCAGTGTGTGTGTTTTCACCTCTGGGTCACTGATTTCAATCCAAGATAGGTCATTGCAAAATAAGTCTGGTAGATTTTTTGAATCTTCCTTTTGAAATTATACTTTTTGGTAATTCAAAATCAGCCTTATTACCTTCATCAGAAACTTATCTAGCAGATCAACCTAAAAACTAGATTTATTTGAAACAAATCTTGGCCTTCTGCCTTTCAAGTGCACTACATATATAAGCGTGTAAATATGCCTCCTGCTGGGAGTGTACAATCTCAGTATTTGTGTAGATTTCAGGACTGGTGCCTCTGTAACAAGTGTTATCCTACTTGTGTAATGCTGAAGTGGCTGACTTTGAGGAGGGCAGACTGTTTTTCAACGTAACAACTATGCTGTGCATCCCTGAAATCTAATCCAATTAATTTTGCCTTGTTTTCCAGATTGTTTGAAGGACGGTCACCAAGGAAGCCTGAGAAACTTAAGACCCTTTTCTGCTATTTTAGAAGAGTCACAGAAAAAAGTATGTACTTCATTTCTATTTTTTTGTTTTTGTTTTTGTTTTTTTTAAGCTACAAAGCATACATAGAGAATTTAATCCCATTACATTTAGGAATGACTATGCAGCATTATGGTGGAAGTATCTAACAAAATCCAGCATGCTGAGTATGCTGATACTCTTTAGTGTCACTTGTCATGTGTAGATGATGTAGATAACACATGTAATTCAGTTTTTTGTGTGAAGCTTATTCTTCATTGCTTTTTTTCTTTTTTCAGAGATGGGTGTGTTTGTGTAAAATATCCATATACATATGTAGGTTCAGATTATATTTTCACCCCTCCTTATTTACATATATATGCTGTACATAAAGTGTGTGTGTTTCTATATGCATTATACAAATTTTCTGTTTGTATGTAAGAAATGAAAATGTACATGCATTGACTTGATGCACCTTATCAGAGTGAGAATGTAGGAAGAACTTAACACGTGTGGTCATTAAAATCACCAGTTCCATACCATCCTTAAGGATTTTGGTACAGTCTTCAGGTTTCCTGTAGTGTGCACGCTTGGTGCTTTGACTGCAGCATTTGTAATTCAAAGCGATTTTTCCTTACTTTTGTTGGCATTTCAGGTTTTTTGCTTCTGTTCTTCCAAAGCAAAGCTGCTGTAAAGTTTTCCCAGTTGAAAATAAATTAGATGATAGCAAGATGTGAGATGTCTTCAGCTCCTTTAGAAATGAGTGTGGAATTTTCCCTAGCATGCCTAGTCAGATCTTCTGCTGTTACCATTGATTAGAGCATAAACCTAAGCTCCTAAAAAAAAAAAAAAAAACATTTATTTTTTGAGAACGTTGTAGCAGAGCTCATAAATTCCCTTTTTCAGGAGAAAGGGATTTGGCTGCAGCTAGGTATATTACATCTGCAGCAATATCTTACTATAGTGTTATTTATAGGACGTTTTCTTTACATTGTTGACACCATATTCTCAGAAAAGTTTGTTCTTAAAAGGAACAAAAATCCACAATTTTAAGCTATTACACATTAAAAAAACTTTATTTCATATGTTCCATCAGTTTATTATTCAGTTCATCAGTTTATTATTTTGTTTCATGTCTAATTAAATGCAGCTACCTCCTGTTTTAGCAAGCAAACCTCAGCAGTCTCAATAGAAATAAATCTCTGGGGTAAAAAGTGAATTGTGATCTGTGTGCTCAGATGAGGAGAGCTGTAGTATGGGGGCTCGCCTGTAATACTTCAATTAAAAAAATTTCAAATTTGTGCTGCTGTCCCTAGCTCTACTGGAAGCATGCTTAATGAGAACTACTTAATGTTAAAACATCTAGCAGTCTAGTGAGATTTTTGCGTGCTCATTTCTTGAACTGAAAATTCGTATCATACTTCTAAAAGACCCCATTTATTGGGATTTTTTTACTTTGAAGACATTAATAAGATTGAAGTAACATAGCTCCATAAAAATTTCACAGTTCTTTTTTATTGTGAATGGTAACTGAATTCCTTGTAATTCAGAGTAAAATTCAGGTGTAAAAGAGCACAGAGGAGGCCACGTAAGTGGAAGATTCTGTCAATAGGTGAATACCTAATTTATGAAAATGTTGCCACTGATACGAATTCCCTTGTAGAAAAGCATTCGATTTCTGAAATCCGTATCCTATTTTTTGAAGAGAAAGCAACTTTTTTTTTCCCTTCGATGTCTCCTTAAACCTTACAATTTTAAAGAAAACATAGCGATATTTAACACATTTGAAAGACTTTGTGCTTTAGATTTGTTTCCATTGTTTTCTGCAAGCCAGCCCAATAGACTCACTGTATCAAACAAATGAGACCAAACGGAGTTTTTCTTAGGATGACTCTAATAAGAGGCTGACGTTTTCTTTTTGTAGCACAACAGGAATTTTGAGTAAAGCAAGGAGAGATGGTGATTGTGCATTCTCTCTGCAGTGAGAAATAGCTGTTCTTTTTTTTGTGAGTGCAGAAGTCTTTTGCATCTGAAGTAGGGTGAATTTCACTAGGATCCTGACAGTAATGGCTCGATTTGGAATCTGTCTTTATTTACATAGTAGTTTGGAAATATGAGCTGCTGCTTTGTCCACACATAGCTTGAATACTCTGTGTTGCCTATTGGGGTTTAAAAACAGACACCTACAGAGGCTGACAATTTCTGCCATAAGTGACAGCACGCTTTACTTTCATGTCGACCATCAGGTCTTTTTGGTAGTGTTTACAGTTCAAGTGATTTTCATTTAACACACAGCTTTTCCTTGAAAGCATACTCAAACTGCAAAGAAATGAGAGTGATTCTGGCCTTCATAGTGGTTTCAGTCTAAGCACAGGCTGCCAGGGGAAGATTCAAAGCTGCTTTTGAGCAAAGTTAATCTCTCCTGTTTCTGCCAGGAATTATGTTGTAATCAGTGTAGGGACAAAAGCTCTAGCAGTTAATATTTTTTCCTCGGGGTTGGTTTCCCTGTAGAACCTACTGGATTGGTGACGTTTACAAGGCAGTGTCTCCAAGAATTTCCAGACTGGGAAAGGTAAGTCACACATGCTGTTAAATGTGAAGATTAATTTAAATTATCTCTAACCTGAATCCCATCATGTTGAATTGATTCAGACCTGCAAGTGATCACAGTAAACGTGTTTGTTTTAGTGAGATGTACGGAAGGAAGTGCATGAAAGCATACAAATAATTTGAACGTCGTGCATTTATCTGTGTGCCTGTGAAGCCAACAAGTCCTACATGAATTTTTAGAACAGTAACATCTTTTGATGCTTGAGAGTGTAAAAAGGGAATTTTTGGAAAGGCAAATACATTTTACTTAATCCTTCAGATTTTTTAACTACGTTATGCTAAGGTGTGAAAGAAGGTAGATTTTGGATGAGTTTTGTCTTAATGTCTTTGTGCAGATTCTGTCATCATTTTTTTTTCTGTGCAATATTTTTTCCTCAATGAAAGATCTCAGAAAAAGCTGTCTAGATTGCATGTCACCTATGAGGGCACTATTGAAAGCAATGGACAAGGCATGCTACAGGTAAGTGTATATAACAGTAGATGTGGCTTTGTGTCATGCTTATGTCATTTTTGTGGTCTGCCAGCTTAAAGTTATATAAACTTGGTTTAAATGACAAAATGTTATGCATGTAAATGAAGGATCAAAATGAATTCCACAGGCAGTCTTAGTGCCATCAGTATTCCCTAGCTCATTGAGTTTTGTTACATGTACCTGTAGGTGACAGAAAATCACAAGTCCTGGACAGCTTCAGGTCCTTTGGTTCAAGCTAGAATCAAAGATTGACAAGATAAAAGTTTCAGGCTGTAATTTTTATGAGCTGCCAAGGGGTTTTGTTTTGTTTTTGTTTTGCTTTTGAAATGATTGTTGTGCCCCAGACGGTGACCAGGTCAGTAGTTCAGGAGACTTCTTGCTGCTGCAGCACCACTGTTTCAGACTGGGAGACAGTCAGCTGAAATAGATTGGTAAGGAGGATGTCCTGTCCATATTGATAGTGAGGAACATACTTCAGTTGTCAAATCAGCTTAAAGAAAGAAGTCTGTCTTCTGGCGTTCAATTACTGAATAAATAAATAAGTAAATAGAACATCTGTAGCCAGGAAAATGTGAGTAAGCTTATTTTAATTATAAATTTCTATGGGCGAGTAGTTTGCATAAATAGTAGTTGCTTTTTTTTTTTTTTTTTTTTTTTTTTAATAAAGCAATTGCTTTTTAAACTATTGTCTATATAAAAATGTAATATGAAAAATGTTATTGCAGCCAAAATGAGAGTCCAGAATTTCACAGTTTCAGGCAGAAAGCTTAGCAGTCAAAATGATGTACCTTTTTCAAGTGCATTTCAAGGAGAATTTGTAAGAGCTTCTAAGTACAGAACAACTGATGTGGACCAGTACTGATCTAAAAGTGCTTTGTGTGGACAGCCAAGGCAGGAAGCTTCTTAAAGGACAACTTAATGATTCTTCAGTGTCCCTAAAATGCAAAAGGGATATTGTGATCTGCTGTTCATTTTTTAAATATATGCCCTTTCAAAAAAATGAATTCAGAGCCTTTGAGATGCATAATGTTATTTTGCTGCATAATATCTCACTTGTTTCTTCTCACAAAGTAGGAAAGGGAAAAAATCAAGAAGGCCTGCTGCTAATCAGACTCTGTCCTGTTACTTATTTTTAAGTGATAGCAGCAGATTTCAATAGAGCTGAAGCTTGTACGTGGTTTTATTGACCTTATTAAATGAAAGGATTTTACGCTTTTTGCTTGTCTCATAATGCTCCTGGATATATTCCTGTTAGGTTGACTTTGCAAACCGTTTTGTTGGTGGTGGTGTCACCGGGGCAGGATTGGTACAAGAAGAAATTCGGTTTTTAATCAACCCAGAGCTGATTGTATCAAGGCTCATCACTGAAGTACTGGATCACAACGAATGTCTTATCATCACAGGTTAGTCTTTAAAGTAAATGTTCTGGTTTTCTTTGCAGAAAACGTGTTTCAACTTGAAGTTTTGTACGTTTAAACTCTGCAGGAAAAGATAGTACTCATTTCTCAATGAGTTTTCTTGTTTGCCCCACCTCTTAAGACTGTGGGGCCACTGTTCCATTAGACATTTGGTGAAGGAAATGAAAACAAGTGATGGCAAGTAGACAAGTGTTACATAAAACTTTTTTTAACCTTGTGTAATAGGATGCTGAATCCTGAAATGCGTTTTTAGACCTAGCTAGAAAACGGTTTGGGGCAATAGAAGTCACAATTACCAGTTATTAGTGGGTAATATTTCTGTTGTGTCAAAGCAGGATGGATTTGTTCCTTATTGCAATTTGGAAAGTTTGTGCTGCCTTTTGGTCACCAAACAGGAGGAAGTGGAAGAGAAGAAAATCAGCATCCTTTAAAAAGGATAGAAAGTGAGGAAATGTCTCTTGAGGATGTTTATCTTTGAAGTTACAAACACACATTCATGGTACTTATGGCAAGTTGTGTTTGTCACTTACAATGTTAAAACTAACTGTGTATGCAGTATATTGTTGAGAGGTTGAGTATGGAGATACCTCTGTCCAGTGCTTCACTGAAGAGATTTTTCCTTTGGTTTTAACGTCTGTCTTAAAATTTGGAGAGATTTATTATTCCTTGGATCAAAATAGTGCCAAAATAGCTGATGGCTCTAGCAGAAATAGGAGAGGTCCAGGAAATGCTGCCTATGTCTTGGATCCACACATAGTGATGCACTTTCATCACTGGAGGAGGGGGGAAAAAAATTAAACTTTTTTTTCTTTACAGCCATTTTTTATTGAGAGATCTTCTAGACAAATACAGTGGTAGATTAGGTATACTCTGTTTTTCAGCCTACAAAGCCTCCATGGTTTTCAGTCTTAACCTTTGTAATCTTTCTAAGAGTGTTTTGTTTGTTTTGTTTTTCCACTGTGCCTTAATCAGTGCCTTTTCTCTGACATCTTTATGGTAAACTTGATTTAGTGATTCACTGAAAAACAAAAATCAGAAAACTCGTGGCCAGCACTGATTGCTGTCATGAATTTTGGATATGATGATATAATAAAATCAACGTATTGAAGTGCTGTCCTCTGGGCGAGGCTCTTCTGGGAAGGGTAAAAAAAGTGCAGCTATCAGTATGTGTCATAATGGATTGGGAGAAACACTAAATGAATTTTTGAAAGAATTTCTTCCATTCCGTTGTGGGGGGAAAAAAAAAGCAACAGTGACTTGGTATCAGCAGACAACAATGGGTGTTCTTTGACTGCAGAGACATTCTCTTAGTTCTCCTAAGCCACTGCACTTCATGGTGTTTGCATTTAGTGTATGTGATAATATTTTTCTTCAATGGAAATGGATCTTCTATCATCTTCTTGCATTTCTTCCATCTTAGTTCATAGCCAAGTCTCTACTGTGTGTCACAATCCTCCTGATGAATTATGATCTTTGTAATGCATCTTGTCTCAGTGGCTTAATGGGTATAACTCCGTAGCCTAAGTTTGCAGAAGAGTCTGAGAAATGGGAGAGAAATTAAATTCATTGTGATTGTGTGGTATCTGGTTAAGATCAATGCTGTAATGAATATGGAACTGGTTGTGCACAAAGTTCTTCTACACAGACTGAAATGTCAGCAGTGATGCCAAAGATTCTTACAAGTACATTTCTGATAGAGCTGTGAAAAAGTGTGGCTGTTTTTCATTCAGTTGTTCTGTTTTGTTTTCTTATTTTTATTTTCCTTTCAGTTGGCATATATCCAGACAGTGTTAAGTGTGGGTGAAGCTGTGTTCTGTGTTTGCTTTAAGTCTACAGATTGAACAATGGCCATTTTCAGAGACTTCTAAGCACATTATCCATGCAATAAACTAGATCAGGTAATTAGTTCAGCTGAAAATTTACTCATAGGAAAAAAATGTTTTTCAGCTTGATTAGCTGGCTGATCGTGCCACTGTCTGAAGAGCCAGATGACTAATGCTGGCACAGTATAAGGGCCAGAAGAACTGACTGAAAGAGCAGGATCTTCCCCTCACCCGTAGCAGTAAATAGACATTCGTATCAGTGTCTACAAAATTGAACCCTTGCTTTTTACATGTACTCCTTTTTTTTTTGTGTAGCTAAAGGTGCTGATACTTCAGTGCTCAGACAAAATACCTGAGGGACAGCGTGGCATTTTTTCCTCCTCCATCCTTGGGAGCTTTATAATACCACACAGATCATATGCAATGGAAAAGCAAAACCACGGGAGTCTGAGAAGGGTGGATTTCATGAACACGGTCCCATAAGCACACTGGCACTAGAGATGTCACTGTTCTCATACTGTGTCTGCAAGTTTCACTAAGAGTGCATTTTTTTTAATTACACTTGCATATGCTTCCTTCTGAGATTGGGTAAGCTTCTGTTTATGTAGTAGCTTGCTTTTTGGCTTTTTTTTGGCTTTGAGGAAAGAGATTCATCAAACGTTAGCACGTCCAATTTATCCTGTATTGCATCCAGTCTCCCTGCAGCAGCAGCTTTTATCCCAGTGGTTCACAGGCAAAAGTGCTGCCCATTGAATAACTGTTTTTATCTGGCATATTTCCAGTGCTTTGCTTATGAAGACCCACTGATTTTAATAAGCCTTAGGTTCCTGGGACAAGAATTTAGTGTTTGTGTGATTTGAGTTTCTCTTTTATTGATTTTTCTATATATGCATTTAGTTGTTTGTTTGTTTCTCGATGCTTTTGTTATCATACGCTGCACTTTCATAAACATTAATGAAAGCAATGAAGCTTTGAAAAAAGCAAGTTTCATCCTTTGACTCATTTAATCTGTCCTTGTCAATATCATCGTCCCATCTTTTCTTTCCATATGTTAGACCACAAATGCTTCCTTTTCCGAGTTGAAGCTGGAGGCTGCCAGAAAGGTCAAGCACTCCCCTTGTTTGTCTTTTCTTACTATTTGCTCAGACACTTTGCTCAAGCATATCAGTAAATCTCAATTTTGGCTAGGTCAGGAAAAGTCTTAACTGATGATAGATACAGCCTACAATTCAATTAGAAGGCTGATTTCTGAATATTTAAGCTGCCTATAATTGTGTGTAAGGAAGTGGAAGAACAGATATAGGCATATTCTGCCATCACAATTATTTTGACTTCAGTCTTGCAACAGAAAGTGAATTTCTAGTGAGCAATCTCCTACCATCCCAATCGCTTTGTTTAGTGGCTTTTCAGAATAGCCTTGGGTGGAGTTTGTTCTTGGTGTGGTTAATCATCTATAAAATGTAAATAAATAATGAGTGGATAATAAGGCAGAGGAGTTCAAGAAGCACTGATAAATCTGTTACAATGGATTTGTGTAAATAGGGGAAATGTTTCAAAGTATAAGCAGCATTTTAAACATTTTGAACAGTTTGTGTTTCATATGCTTGAGCCTACAGGAAGCAAGCATTCAGATTCCCTTGGCAGGTGATGTTAAAAGTTGAATAGTCTTATGTTTCTGATATTTTCAAAGCTGTTGTTATATATATTTTTTCTATTTAGAGATTGAAACCTTTGAGGTTAAATTCAAACATTTATCTTCTTAGAATATCACCAGTCTATGCACTAGGCATCACTCTTGTCTGATTAATCATATTTTTTGTGCTGTCGGTTACTTTAAATGCTCACAGGTCTTTGTAAACCATTTTTCTGTTATATTTATAGGTGTAATTGCTGGCACAGTTTGTGATTAAGGCATTGCTTTGAAGTCATCTTTTTCTTATGCTATTGGTGACTTGTGCCCAAACTGTGCCCTTATGAGATGGAATTTTCCAAATGAGGTATTCTCATCAATCTATTAGAAATTCATCTCAAAATTGTTCAGAGGTTGCAAGCCGTGCATAGGAAAACCTGATTTTGCTATGGCATTACTTCAGGGTTTTCCTGTGCATTTTTCCATCCCCAGGATTTTGAAGCAAGGACCTGAAGTTTGGTTAGACAGGATGAAAGCTGGCTTTTTAACAGAGGGCAAGAGTCAAGACACTTCTAGAATGCTCTCCTTGGTCTCAGTAAAGGCTGGAAAGGTATTTTGCATAATAGAGCAGAAATAGCTAAAATTACTAGGTCTTAACAAGCTACTTTCTTACAGCCTTTGATGCTTGTCAAGATAACCTGCTGGGCTTTTTGGCAGAGCAGTTTGGTGTGTACTAGATGTAGTTTTGTAGGTTCCTAGGCTTTTACAGAATTATCCTCTTTGGTACTGATCACCACAGCTGGGCTCAGTGGCCTTCCAGTACTTTCAGTGCTGTGAATTGCAGTAATATCTGAGAATTTGTGTCAGGAACTGCAGAGCAGGATTCGTGCTGAGCAAAAGCAAAACAAAGTAACAGGAGGAAAAGAGATGTTACTGGGCAGCAATCCTTGGAAGCTTAGCAGTCTTACCAAGAATCACCAAGGTTGGAGAAGACCTCTAAGATCATTCAGTTCAACCATCCACCTATCACCAGTATTTCCCACTAAGCCATACCCCTCAGTACAACATGTTAAATGTTCCTTGAACACAATATCCCTATGTAGGATCATTCTCAAGCTTGATGGGCAGCAGTCAGAGTAAGACTGATGCACTGGAAACGTGCTTTGTTCTTATCTTGGAGCTTCTCTGTGGGTTTACAGATTTTAATTTTACGTTAGAGAAATGAAGTCATTTTGTGGAAACATACAGCTTGCTAAAGATGCTTTTAAATCTGGACATTTTTCCTCTCCTGTTTCCTAAGCTGTCAGCCCAGCTTTTTGCTACTTTGTGATGAGGTAGCATTGCCATGTTTTAGTAGTGCAGTGACTGTTTTATCATCATGTTTACAGGCAGTAGCAGTTCTCCATCCTCATTTATCAGAGGGGGAACACTCTCCTTGGTCTGTCTTCTCCTGCCTGTGTACCTTTAGAACCCCTTCTTGTTATTTTTCACGTCCCTTGCCAAGTTCAGCTCTATCTGCGCCTTGACTTTCCTGATCTTAGCCCTCCACATGTGGACGATGTCCCTATGTTGTTCTCAGGCTACACAACCCTGCTTCCACTTCCTGTACATCTGTTCCATCTTTTCCCTCAGTTTAAACTGCAGCTACTTAATCTGGCAATGGTAAGTCGAAAAGTGTCTCATGGTTGTATGTGCACTGGATGGCATACCTAGGAGATCTATGTATGTAACATCTACCACACAACATCACACTGCATCAAAAAAAGTTCTTACTGGTTTCAAGATGATCTTGTACTGTTATGTGTAGATATGAACCTCTAGCTTCAACCAGTGCTTTGGAGAGCTGTGTATCCATTCAGAGAAGCATTGATTCCTATGAAAGATTTTACAAGAGAAAAATATTTACGTATTCTTATGTAATATGGGAAATCATTTGTCTTTCAGGTACTGAGCAGTACAGTGAGTATACAGGTTATGCAGAAACTTACCGGTGGGCAAGAAGCCATGAAGATAAGACCCCAAGGTGAAGTTCCACATAAGTATTTCAAGTGAAGGAATAAACAAATGTCTTAAAGATTTGATGCTTTGTGTATTTGGCTTACTATAGAATTTTATAGCTTGATCCTACTTTCTTCAGAAGAGCCAACAAGCTAAGAAAGTTATCTCCTGATGCTCATGATGATACCTGCCAACGTGTCAATTCTTAGATCAACAGGTTTTAATTATCTGTATCGAACCCAGAGTTTTCTGAAGATAACTGAACTTTGCATTATAAGAACTATATACTTCCCAGGAATTTTGACAGTGATACCATGTGTTGCAGGTGATATTAGTGTGTCAAAATAAGATTTAATATCATGAATCTGAGAAGAAGTCTCTAAGCACTTACATTTATTTCCCCAGTAGTGCTTATGCAGTGAGTACGCACAGTAATCCATCTTGTATTGGACGTGGCTTTGCACAACCTGATGTAGTGGGGGGTGTCCCTGCCCAGGACTGAGGCAGGAGAAGTTGGAATTAAATGATATTTAAAGGTTCCTTCCAACCCAAACAATTTGGTGATTCTGTAAATTCTGGAGGAAGATAAAGAGCCAGAGTGCTTTTTTGACTTTGCAGTGTTCCTCTGCACTGAATAAACAGTGCCATTTAATGAGATGTGTTTCACATTTCTACTTTCTCGTTCAGACTCTAGGCTGGAGGATTTATGGATTTATAAGGGAATCTTCTCTCTTTTCTGATGCTTTTGTCAGCACTCCGTTGTTGTTACAAGCTCACCTTTCTAGTGTCTTCTAATGGAAAAGCTCTGCAGGGAACTGCTCATCTCAGATCATGATTATATGGCCAGTATTTAAGAACTAATTTTACTATCACATCTTGTCTTCTCACCCCAAATTTAGGGATGAGTGGCAGCGGCGCTACACTGAAATTGTTGCCATAGATGCATTTCACTTCAGACGTTTCCTTGATCAGTTTGGTCCGGAGAAAATCAGAAGAGAGCTCAACAAGGCAAGTCAGTCACTTTTTAAAGCAGCCTGCAGCCTAAGGCTGTTTCATTAATGCTTGCAGTACCTTTTAAAATATTTTTGTATTTGTGTGTGTCTTCAGTTAAGAAAACCGTTCATCTAACAGTGTACTTCGTTGAAGTAGAAGCTTGTCAAACAGAGTGGTTTATCCTTTGATACATAGTTCAAATGGGCAGTTTACTCAATCTTCAAAAATATAAATGAAATTTGGGTACACGTTTTGCTGACTCTTCTCTATCCTACTTCTAAATGATGTTTTTATGTTCTCTCCCCATGATTGGCTCTGCTGAATCCTATTCAGCCTTTCATTCAAGTGGAGTAGGAGGTACCTCATGTATTAACACAGTGACAGTTCATAAATATGGTACCACTTGCTTTTCTCCTATCTTCTGGATAAACTTTTGAAATATTTACATATTTATCTTTTCATATATTGATGTAACCTTGAGCTGAGATCTGACTGTCCATAAATTTCCTATCTATTCACACAATGTCTGTAAGGGCTGTTGCAACTGAATGGGTATAGACATACCAAACAGCTTGTAGTGATGGGAACATGTAGAAGATTGATAAATCAGGCTGGTTCCAGTCCTTTAAACAAAGCTCTTAGACTGACATCCAGAAACAGCACATTTCCTACTGATAGTTCTTGTACATTATCTAAGATTACTGTATATTTAAAGCGGTCAGTCCTTAACTTTATCCTCCATTAACTGTGTGTGTACAAAACTGTATAGTTAGTTCCAACAGCGTTTGATCTTGGTGGTTCTAGTTGTCAAGATTGTCAAGCTCATGAAATCTTTGACGAAGGAAGCTGGAACTGCAGTGAGCATCTTTTCTCTCTACTCTTCTCCCTCATTTGGGATATTGTTATATCTGAGTTTCTAGGTTGTTCCTAGCTGACGGTCTCTGCTCTGGACTGTCTGTGGGGCTTTTGTTTGTTCAGCTGATTGCTTTTTTGCTGCTGCTCTTGAAAATAAAGCAGTCCTTTCCCATCTTTGGAGGTGATGCTTCTGCACTGATGGATTATTACCATCAGTGAACTGTTTGTGAATCTGGGGCACTAGCTTCTGGCCTGCACTGATGTTTTCAAAGTCCTTGCTTGTATCCCATTCTTATATATTTTTATCCCATTCTATATATTTTGTCATAACAAGAGATACTTGGTATCAATCTCCAGTTCAAAAGGCAAATTCTCATAATGTAAGTTGATAAGATTAATGGTCCACATTGAAGGCCTCGGACATTAGCATAAGACATAGACAGAGAGAGGTCTGTGGCCTGTTATAGCAATGCAGCACTCTTTTCACTGTGCAGTTGAGCACAAAAATGTTTATGCACTTACATTATTTATCATACTTACATTTAGCTTAAAAAGACAGGATAGTAGCATGCTTATATGATAACAGATGCAGCAGGCCGCTGCTTTAGCTAGGGGTTTAGGTGTAAGGTCATGCTACAACTATTAGGAGGTTCCCTGCTTTCTGTAGTGCAGGAGACCATGAAATTCTATATGCATTTAAAATAAATTCAAATGTAGGGCAGTGTGTTCCTAACTCTTAGCTAGAAGGGAAAAGGAATATACCTTATTCTTATCAGTTTATTTTTCCTCCCAGAAATGACGTGCAGTCCTGAAGGACTAATTTTAGTTTAGTCTTAAAACTTCGGCTTCGTGATTGAAGTAACATTCATCAGATTGTTGCTTTTTGGTTGGAAATGAAATTAGCCCTGAAAGAGACAGTAAATAAATTTTGGAAGCCATATCTTGGTACAAAATGCAAATGATTTACGCCAGTGAATTTATGATCTGCCTACCATTTTCAGAGTTATTGATTGGATTTGGATTTTTAACATAAATTACAGTAGGTACGTGAGGCTTTGATATACTGTGTCAGTCTGACAGGTGGTGTTTGAAGACTGGGAGTATTTAAAGGAAATTTGAACTGTAGTAGTAACGAGAACTAAGTTTTTAAGTGACTGATGTTTTTACAAATCAGATGTGTTCAACTGTATTCAGTATGTTTGGTTCTTTCAGTTTGTTCTAAAATTAATGTTAACCTTACAACTTTTCATGTGTGGGGGAAAAAAAAGGTGGTAGAATAGGCTGCAGTCTACTTTTTTTTTCTTTAAATAAATTAGGACAAGGTAAGTATATGCACGCAAGCTGTTAAATATGGATTTATTAGTAGGCATTGCTCAGCCTCTGTTTGTTTCCAGAGGCTCTTTTGCCCATCTGTTATTTTGGGCCATTAAGAAATGATTGAAACAACTTGAAGCGAGTGATTCTTCTTACAGCTTGCCTTTTCTTAGAAGCCTATGTGATTTCTCTAACATCTACTTCTTTTAAAGAACCAGATGTTCTCTCTGGTTCCATGAAAGGTGTCTTGAGGCCGACATTTGTTTCTGGTTTAACTGAATGCAAGATTAATATTGTCTGAATTTGGTTAGTGAGAATAAAGGAGAAAAAATTCTACCTCATTTCAACATTAAGATTTGCAGATACTTTTGTAGGAGATGTCATAGCTCTATCTTTGCTTGTCCCTTCAGATTATTGCCTCACGAAGTCTGTCTGCAGAATCACAGAATGGCCAGGGTTGGAAGGGACCTCAAGGATCACGAATCTCCAATCCCCTGCCACAGGCAGGGCCACCAACCTCCCCATTTAATACCAGACCAGGCTGCCCAGGGGCCCATCCAACCTGGCCTTGAACACCTCCAGGGATGGATGGGGCATCCACAGCCTCTCTGGGCAGCTGTTCCAGCACCTCACCACTCTCGTAGTGAAGAACTTCCCCCTGACATCCAAACTAAGCGTCCCTCTCAATAATTTTTCCAGTTGGAAGTTCCACTTTCCAAATGCTGAAGAACAACTGATGTACAGTTGGGCTTGCAGTCATAAATGTCGTGGAGCTGGTTTTGATAACCATTGACTAGTAATAATAATGGTAAAAGTGACAGGTTCACGCTTACCAAGAAATGCATCCCAAAAATTTACAGCGTATGGAGCAGTACAGAACTGACATGTCTCTTAGGTGTACCAAAAAGATGTGACAAAACCTACTGTTTAAAGTTATATTCCCTGCTCCAGCTGTTCTGTTAACTTACTGTAGTTTTCAAATCCATGGAAATCTGCACCTGCGTTTAATTTTGAACTTGGATCCGAACAAGGCAAAATTATTCTTGCCTTAAAAGAATGCCTAAATAAAGAATTTATTATTTAATTGCTACTGTAGTTTACTTTCAACTTAAAGGAAGATTAATGGTATATTGAGCTTATTTGATTTTTTTTTTATTGCTGGAAGATGGTACTGATTGTTATCATTCAGTTGTTTGAAAATAATGCACCAATGTGCCTGTCAGCTTCATCTTCTGACTCTTGTCTGCCTGCAGGCCTACTGTGGCTTCTCTAGACCCAATGTTCCACCGCAAAATCTCTCTGCAATAGCCACAGGAAACTGGGGATGTGGTGCCTTTGGAGGGGATTCCAGATTAAAAGGTAAATTATAGCAAGAGGTTAAGATTCAAATGAAACCATGAACTTAGATTTTGATTTTTGATCTTATTCTTTTTTGGGGCTAAGTACATTTTTTGGTTTTGTTCAGTGTGAATAAATTGTAGCCAAGTATTCAAACAGTAGTTAAACTGTCTATAGACCTGGTTCATTAACTTTGATCTTTGGACATGACTGTTGTGACCTTAAATACTAAAAATGCATGCTGTTTTTCTATGCTGTTTCCAGTTTAAGATTTGAAATAGCCCTGATTGTTTCTGAAATGCCAGGTTTAGTGCTTATGTAGCAGTGAAAACTTCAAAATCACAGATACTGAATATTAGTTCACTCTCATTTTAACTCTCAGTTATGTACCTCAGTTAATCTTCCTGAACCGGTCTTTACAGCCTATGCCTAAAAATTAATATCTCTGCAAAGCTGTTCAAAGTACTTGCTTGTTTGGAAGGTCTCAGAAACTTGCTGGCAATGTTTTATGTCTTGCTCTGTGATAGACTGCAGTATGCCAGAGAGGCTGTGAGTCACTAAGGCATCCTCCTTTCTTTCCTGTCTCACCTGCTCTCTCTCACTTTCTCATGTTCTTTTATTCTTAATTAGAGTGTATCTAGTGCAGCAGATACCACGTGCCTACTACGTTCATGTAAGACTTTTCCCATCAAGTTAAGAAATGGCAGATCCTGATGTTTAAATTGATTTATGGAACTTATACTGAAAGTTAACATTTTGGTTATTTTCAAACTCGTGGGAAGTATTCAAAATTTGTTTTTCTGAACAACTTTGCGGAGGGGTACATTATCAGACAAACATTCACTAGGCTACCAACTTCCATGAGTTTTCTATCCAGCTGTGGTTTGTTCACTGAGAATCTATTTTTCTGTCAGTACTCATTGCCTTGCTGACAGCTGATTTTGATTTCTTTTAGGTAAACTGGGTTGTCGTGTTCAGAACATGAGTACCACATGTAGGATCTGATCATATTTGATTATGATTCATGCTAGGAGGGTTTAATACTTGTTCTGATTTGCATTATCTCTTTTTTTTATGAGTTTCCAATTAAAAAAAAAAAAAACACAAACCATACTGTTCATCTGATCCAAGTTGTTACTTGTTCAGTGCTAGATGTAACTTTCAGAATAGAGTTTGCTCACTGGAGGGCTTGATACTGGAGCCTTCGTTGCCTATCAGTCAGAGCTCAAAAGCGAGATAAGCTGACGAAGACCAGGAGAGCTGAGTCCGTTTGGGGAGGAAACCCTAAGAAAAGATGTTTTAGCTGACAAAGAAATGAGCCATGAGTTGCTGAGTCTATAAATCTACTGTGAACTTTCAGTTAAGTTAAAATTAAACTAAAGGCTTAAAACATGAAGTTTTTCTCTGTTTTTCGGGTCAACCTTGTTTTCCCTCTTCTCCCCAACACGTGCCAGAATTAACAATTAGCAGCCAGTGCTAGTGTTACAAAAATGCTCATTTCAAGTTATGATTGTACTCTCAGGTCATCTCCTGTTCTTTTGCCAGGCCTTAAAAAAGAGCACCTCACTTCAACCATATTCTTCTTGGAAAGCAAGCTTGATTTCTTAGTTGACTCTGCAAAATCAATACTTAATAAAGTGAATTAATTGATAGCAATGTGCTATTGGGCATGGAGCTAGTCTTTAATTTGTGGCATTTTTCTTCAAGCCAATTTTAACTGGAAATAAGATGACAGTTCTTTTTTTGGTAAATTGTGAGCTACAAAAAGGGTACAGTAATTTGGCTTGTGTGTTTTGTCAGACTATGTTTGTACTTGATGTATGATAACCAAATGAACTCTTGTTTATTTCAGATGCTTCTCATGCAATCCTAACTACTAAAGCTGTTTCTCCATTTCTAAAATGCTGTATGGGATTATTTTGAAGTGCAAATTCTTTCTGTGGTTTCACTTCACTATGACCAAATCTGTTACACTTGATAGGGATTCATAATTTCCTCATTTTGGAATATGTTTTCAAACTCTGAGATTATCAGTATCACAATTTATTGAACCCAAAGTAACAGTATTGATCACACAGGCTTGGCAGTGTATTGAAAACGACAATTTCCGTAGATTATAATGTGTTTTGTGTGTAACATTCTTACGTTTGAAAGGATGATGGTGTTCATCTATTGTCTGGATCTCTAACAGAGACATCGGAACAACCAAGTAGTTTGATGTAATCAGATATAATTAAGTAAGTTCCATTATGCAGTATCAGATGGGTTTTTTTGATCATCTGATAAGCATAGTTATAATCAAGGTCACAGATGATGAGAAAGAAGCCTTCATGGGGAAGGAAAAAAGTATCCAGCTTTATGAACCAAGAACCCAATAAATAAATGAGACATATTTCAGCTTAGCTGGGAATATTTCCTTACTGTGGAACAAAGGACTTGAAATGCTGATGAAATATGTTTATCTGATTGGGAGAATTTGGAAGATCTTGTCTTGTTTCTGAAGCCAGAGGATGATTTAAGAATTTACAACTACAGGGTTCTGTGCAACTGTCTGAAAGGCTTTTTTCAAGTGTTTTATTACTGAAAATGCAAAATAGATTTTCTGTATTGAGGCATCTCATAAATACCTAAATTTAAATTGTAACAAATATGAATAAGTACTCTTTTTGTGACTTGGTGTTATGTATCTGAAAAAATAAGGTTTAAGAGGAAGAGGCCATTGAAAGATTTATTTTATGCTGAAGTCTTGGGCTCAGTGTGGCAGAAAAAAAGTATTCCTTCAGGTGCAGTTCCTGAAGAGTTAAATGAAATTTTGGGTGCTGTTTTGTAAAGCCAGGAGTTGGACTCGACAATCCCTTCCAACTTGGGATATGATTCTATGAAATCAGATCTGCCTGGGGCACAGGGAACAAGAGAGCCCCAGGGTCTATTGCTGGTGGTCTTTTCTGTATCTTGTTTCTGTGTGGATGTTTCAAGTGGGTGCTGTATTGTATTAATACTCAAAGACTGACTTTTACAGAAATTTTGACTCTCGTTTCATGAGATTTATAGGGAGTCAAAATAAATAGTGGAGTACTTGTAATATTTCTTGTGTGAAGCGAAACTGCATTGTTTGTTTGGAATTAATATGAAGATTCATTAGATTCTGTTCCCCTGTGCAAGCTACTTAATTAGGCCCTTTAAAAGCTGAACTACTGAAGCTTTACCAAATCTACAGCTGGTTCAGTAGTTTAATTAAATATCATTCCCAGATTGAGATTAATTTCACATGTGCTTCATGTAATTTATAATTTTAGCTATGGGTCTACGAGGCTTTTGATTAAAGAATGCAATATTTTAAGTCTCGTTTCATAGCTGAGCTATGACAAGCTTTCTATTTAGCTTCTATTGCAGGTGGTAATGCACTACATATGCTGTTTTATTTAGAATAAAATCTTTCTTTTTCTACCCAGTAACTAATTGTGATTGAGATAGTCATTATGAGGATGAACACTGAAGCTGTACCCATAGGTTCTGAAACAAGTAGCAAAAATAGTTTATGGGAGTTTGTTATTTGGACTGATGTAACATAACTTTAAAGGAATGTGTCATTGATGATACGTGCCTGTGACAGTCCAACCTCACAGTATTGCTTGGGGAAAAAGCTGTGCTATTTAATAGTTGGGTGCTGCCTCAAAGGGTCTGGTTTTTTCTGCTCCCCTTCCCAGGTGCTCTTCCTTACATCAGTTCTGGTTCTCAGTAAACCCATCACTCAGCCAACTCAACTGCTTGTCTTGCAGAGAACAGTTAGCTTTTACTCTCTTGTCAGAGGACTTTTCTGCCAGGTTGGTGAATGGAGTTGGCTCAGGGGAGATGCTAATGAGTACCTGAGAGCAGCAGCAAACAGTGAGAAGGGACCAGAGCCACTCTCTCCAACTGCAGCAGATCATTATCTTGGCTCAGCTAGATTATTGGCCAGCACCCCAGATAATTTTCTAGTGTAAATCTTCAACAGTCTGTTTCCAAAGTCAGGATTGTTCTTGTTCATTTTCCCTATAGCAAAGCCAGCCTACTTCATAGCCTTAGCATTTGCCGGAACGTGAGATGCAGCTTGGTTCAGGGAATTTGACACAAAGCTGGAAATAAACCACAGTCGCATTGCTGACATCATGACCTTCCTTTTTAGAGGTCACAACAAGACACAATATTTCATGCTGTGCACTTTGATTGTGGGCAAAATAGACACCTTAAATTGCATGGTAGAATCATAGATCTCCACTTGGGAGATTAAAAAAAACCATATTGGTCAGCTCCTGCTTTGTATAGCTTATGTAATGAAAGGATTAGCTATGTTCCTTCAGAAGGAAAGAGGAGAAAGTCAGTTCTATTCTAACCTCATCTAAATTGCTTAAACCCAGGATTATAACAGGATGGTCTGCTTTTTTTATGTTGTTGGATGTGTTTATTGGTTAACTAATGGCTGTATGCAGCTTAGGGCTGGGGAGAACAGACTTAAATTTATATTTTTTTTTGTTGTTGTTTTGTTTTAAGGGTATTGTTTATCTGGAAAATTATGCCTAGTGGCTCCATCAGAATACTTCAATACTTAGCTTGGCTTTAAAAGTAGAAGTAATTTTCTATCTATTGTTTGCATTGCTTTGTAGTGTTCACTTGAACATGAGTGGTATAATTATTTGCTGTAAAACTTATGCTGTGTTTTGTCTTGCATTCAAGCATGTATTATTATCATTTTTTTCCCCTCTTCTTTCAGCCTTAATACAGATATTGGCAGCTGCTGAGTCTGGACGTGATATTGTTTATTTTACCTTTGGAGATGTGGAGCTGATGCGAGATATTTACAGTATGCATACTTTTCTCTGTGAGAAGAATCAAACTGTTGGTGAGCATAAACCTTTTCATATATGCAGACTACTGTATAACTGGAAATAATCCAGTAAGAATTATTGTCATCAAGTCCTGAGCCCAAGCAAATGGTCTTGGTTTATTGGCACCTGTTTTCAGGGGAGCTCTTCTGATACAGGGTTAACTCAGCAATGTTCATCTGACCTCTAGGATCCTAGAACAGCTTATTTAGGAGTTCTTCTCAGAGTTTGGAAAATATTGATGTTGTAGATGTAAGACTTGCAAAAGTTTTTTAATACAACTTTAAAGGCTTAAATAAAAATCTGCTCATACATTCCTGGTATAGATTTAAGTTATAGTGCTTTTGGTTTGATTTTTGTAAGAAAAAATAGTAGTCAAACCTGTTATCCAGCTGCAATGCAATGAAAGCAGTGTACCCACTGCCCCCACTATAATTTTAAAGAGTCTTTACTTTCTGGGACAAAAGTAGGAAGCTTGTTAACCTGCAATACGTTTGTGAGTGGTACAAATGGGAATTAATGTTCAGATAGCTGAGCAGAAAGAGGAGGGAGTCTGCCTGTGTTATGAAGAAACTTGGAACCAGTAGGGTGTCCCTTGTGCAGTTGTCTACTTCTTCTTTCACTGCTCATCTAGAGATATCACTTGGCACTGTTTCAGGCATTTCTAGTCTTCAGTTGCAGCTATATGTTGTTCATAGCATGATTTAATATTTCTTTGTTTTCATTTTCAAGGGGATGTTTATAGGCTGCTACTCAGATACTACAATGAAGAATGCAGAACCTGTTCTACTTCAGGACCAGAAGTGAAGCTGTACTCTTTCATATATAACACCATTGAGTCCTATGCAGATTCTACAGATGATGATGAAGAAAAAGGGTTGTGCTTTGATGATTAAGATAAATGTGTTTAATTGGAATATTGTTCAACTCCTCCCACTCGTTTGAATTGCTGAGTGGAAAGTATGACTTGGATAACTTAATATATATTGATTGCATTGGTAGTTATCAAACATCCAAAAATCTACCTTTGAGAGGCATGATAGCTTGTTTGGTGGCTTCATACATGGAAACTTGTTCATGTGTGTACAGAGAGGATTTCTCTGGTAAATCTGGTTTGCTTTACACCTTTGTTTAGCAGGAGGTTTTATAAACACTTGTATTTTGATCAAGATATTGCTGAAAGATTTCAGAAGATTTCTCTGTATCTAGACTTCTTGCTAAGCCTAGTGCTGGAGTACGTGCAGCCATATAACCCCCAGAATGAGCTTAGAGAGAAACTTTGTAATTACTGTTCTTATTGACAGTTGTAACAATTTGATTACCTCCTTAAGACTGCCGTGGTACTTCCATTGTTCTTATCCAAATTTTCCTACATTTGGTTTAAAACGTCCTGGTTTTGATATACTTTGTAATAAATGGCTAAATGTGAAGATTCTGGAGGAGCTATAATGCATTTCAGAACTGCATTAGTTTGGTCAAATTAGAAAAAGTTATCATGAAGAACAGTCTGAAGAACAGATGGGTGGGAGAATGAGGTATGTGATCAGAATTAGAAGCAGAAGGAAACATTCATGTATTAAACTTCTAAAACCATCTTGTTGGTGCTATCTGTTACAACACTGAACAAGGTCGTAAGCATATTAGTATACATGAAGTTCCTCAAGGATCACTGTTGTTGATAACTTCATTTGAATTAAGGTCTGCTGTAATTTTGTTGATACTCTCATATCAGTTCTCCCTTATTGCAGCATGTGAGCATTAGATACCTGTGGGAAAACAAGTGGAAACCAGTTGCATATCAGTGGGAGGAAAGCCCAGGCTACAGATAAGAACATAAGGTTTTGTGAGGAATTTGCACCTATGTTGTCTTAGGCGTGGGAATAATAACATTGGAGAGAGCTCAAAAGATCTGTAAAAACTGTTTTTAATGTCTCTGTGAATACCAAATTATTGTTTCTGTAGTATGTTAATATTTTACAGAAATCTACAGATAAATAGGTGAAAAAAACTTTCTAGGTCTACATACAGGGTTGATTCAATGAAATGTTTTCTGTTAGTAATTAAACCCAATTTAAGTTCAGGCCAGCATTGCTAAATTTAATCTCTTGTGTGTCAGATCTGCCTGGTCAGTTATAGCTGCTCTCTGAGCAATACAAGTAACAACAGCAGGAAGTGTAGTGAGCTATAGCTCTAGTATCAACAAATCCTTTTGGTTGGTGTCTGATAAAATATCTGCAAGCCTGAAACGTAACCTACTAATGAAATAGTGGAAGCTACTGATAGTCTGGCTAGCAGTAAAGCACCCATTGCTTGAGCTGCTCTGGTGGAAGAGCAGTATCAAATTGTTTGGGTCACTTACAAATGACTTCAGAGTGCTGCACCATTGCATCAGTGCTGCAGTGGGCCACTAGGAATTGTTGCTTCAAATGTGACACACAGCAGCTTGGCTGATTTTTGTCCTATTATTCCTGCCAGCTATGTTTTTCTTCACACACATCCGTGTCAAGGAAAAGTTTTACAATAGAATTTCAGGGTCCTCTTAGCGTTTGCATCTTGTATCCTCTCACTTTGCAGAAATCTTTTCTCCTGCTCCTTGTGTTTTCCTGTTGGCTGAGATTCTGGCAATGACAGAACTTCTAGATGCAGTGCTGATGACAAATGTACCTGATTTATTAAGAGCCGTGAGACAAAATTGGTGCTACCTGCCACATCTTCACTGTACTACTCAGGATTTCTTATAGAAAAGGTGAAAAGAAATTGTTCCAACCAACTGGAAGAAAATACAGCAAAAAGTTTTAGGTGGCCAGATGTGAGTTCCCCTTTATCGTAAATACATGCATCTTTAGTAGTGCAATATTTATTTTTGTTGTTGAGGGAAAATGATTCTTCTGTTAATGAAAAACGTACTAAGTAAGATGGCATAAAATTTTAGTTTGGCTCTAGAAACAGAAAAAATATATATTTAGTTTTGGAAAGGTTCTCTGAAGTTCATATAGTAGTGTATTCAGTTACGTTTTGGAGTGTCAACTATTTTAGGAAGTTCCTAGTTCTGTCAGCTTTATTTTCACTAATACTTGAGACCTTTCAAACAGGGGAAAGAACAGCTTCTGAGATTGCTCTTTAGGATATGTTTCCCATACATTTTTTCCTGAAATATGACTACGTGGACAGGAGAAAAAGAAAACTTGTTTTCTGTTTAATGTCATCTGAGTAAGAATGATCTATCCCATGTTCTGCCTTGTGTCCCTGAACTCATAAAGGGCAGCACTGTAAGAACTCTTGGAATATGACTTCGATTGCAGGTGGGCTGGAGATTACATTTTTCTTGGTTTGTTTTGTTTTTCTGGACGATAAAAAGCCAAGAGTTGAAGAGTTACCAATGGTGTTCGATTGCCATGGCTTTGGAATTCAGTAAGTGTTGAAGTGCCCAGAGTGCTGCGTGGGGAAGGAAGAATTTTGAGCCCAACGTGTACTCTGCACCTCACTTTTTCTGTCCAGCTACCACTCTCCATTTATAACCTACCTGAAGTGTTTTCTTTAGCTGGAGATGTGTTTTGGTGCTCTGGACATAGCATGGAACAGAAGGCCCAGTGCTCTTCGCAGCCTAGCAAACTTCATCTTCATAATTCTAGAAACCTAGAAATCTGTTTATGGAGTATTGCTCTTTTTTTTATTATTATTATTGCTTTAAGGATGTTTGTTATATGTTTTCAGATAACAATAAACTTCCTACCAAAACTATTGTTTTATACTTGTTTTAGCAGCTAAACTGAATGCTTAGTATCAAAGAGGCAATCATATAGATTGCAGTGTTGCCTCCTAGTGAAGTTTGGTGTCAGAGTGCTGCTGTTTGTTCTACAGCTCTGGCACCTAAACTCCTTGGTTATGAGGTGTTCTTCTGAGTACCCATTTCTGTATATATTAATTTATAAATTGATGAACTGTTCCTGACGTTCTTCTGAACTGCAGTTTATGCATCATTATATTCTATTGATTTTTCTGGATCTGTATGCTAATGTTTACATGACTTTTGTAGGAATACAATTAAAAAATTGATTGAAGCAAGGTGGTTTACTTTATCTTATAATATACTTCCCAGGACTGAGAGATTCCAGTACATCTGAATGTACATGGCCCAACAGGAGTTGTACTGTTGACTGCCAGTGCTGCCATAGTAGTAAATCTAATAATTCTCACAATATCATAATTTGTTCATGCTGTATAATAGTGTGGCAGTTGATTCATTGTGCTTAGTAATTAAAAAAGGAGGGAACTATTGCAAATTTGGGTTAGTCTTAAGAGAGCCTGAGGGCAAATGAAACATCAGCCCCTGAGAGCAACTTCCCAGTTAGAGACTCTTGGTGACCGCTCTGTCCTGTAGTTGCACCTTTTTGCAGTTGCTCCCTATTTTCTGGCTTATTTATACCTCTTTTTATCTTTTAAGAGTAAGTGCCATATGCAAAGTCACTGTGCATTAGCCAAGTTAACGAGTGAATTCATCCACTGGGTTTACTGAAGGAGACTCTGGGGCGGGTGCAATTGTACTCGTTATGCTCACATTTCAGTTTTCAATAGCAAAGAAAATGGAAAGGCTGATCCACTGCTTGTTCCTGGTTTTAGATTTAATCTTGGGCGAATGGCCAGAATAACCAATTGCCTCATGGTGATATCAAGTGTTGGAGAGCCTGGAGGTGGCAGCTCTGATAGCGTGATGACTGGATAGAAAAGGGTTGATGTGTGTTATAAGCTGTGAGGACAGGGATCCAGGAGAAGTAGTGTGTTTCTGACAAGAATAAAAGCATCCAGAAAGCCATAGAAGTAGCAAGATGCTGCAGCCATCTCAAGATTTTTAACTAAAAATTGAGTGTTTATGATCTTGTTTTGTGCTAACAGTGTTTCATGCTCATTTATCACTGCTTAAGTGATTCTGACCTGGGAACCATGTAGGAGGTATCTGTCACTGATAGCTCCATTACGACAATATCATCAATTTCTGCTTAACTGAGCTGTCAAGCTGGGGTTAGATTGCCTGGTTCTGGCAAGCAGCACTCAGAATGCTGTTAAAGGAAGCTCTAGTATGTTCTAAGTCTTCCTGAAAGTACTGTGGTACAGTGCTGTGAGGCTTACAGATGCACAGGAGACACAGACACCGCGCTGTGTGTGCTGAGTAAGACATACACTGCAGCAGCTTAAAGAAGCTGACACAAACTGCTGGCAGTGCAGGTTGTTAATGCATGGTAGAGATACTGCGTTATTTTTGCCAGCTGACTTTGCTGGCTGCCTGGTGTCTGCACATCTCTGCGTTTACAGCCAACTCTGTTCCAGATTGCATGTGGAATGCTTCCAGTAGCTTACTTGCCTTAAACAAAAACTGCCTAATCCTGGGCTGCTAGTTCTTTTGGTAAGCTGAACAGGCAGTATCAAAAATGGGAGATGTGATCCATATTTTCCTCTTCAGTATCTGAGAGAACCATTTTGGTATTCCAAGTTTTCAGGGCAATGGAAGAAAATAAGGGGATTTCTTGTAAAAGTGTGTATGGTTATATAAACATTATTTGAAAGCTCTAATTCAAGCAAAAGAAGCTGAAGTTTAGTTCAGAAGACAGATGGGAAACAGCAAACTCCTTTAGTGTCTCCTTACATAGTTGCTGTTTTATTGGCTGAATTTAGCTAAGGACTGATGGTATTAATAGTGTTTTTGTCTAGAAGTATGGTTGCAAAATGACTTTTGTGTAAATTAAATTCACACTGAGAAAAACATCAGAAGTGCATGAGAAAGAAAAGCTCTGAATTGTGGCTAGGTATGCTTTGCAATGGCTGTGGAGGGTCTGAGAACTCAGGCTGGAGAACCATTAAATGAGGCACTGTGTCACCTCCGTTTTGAAGTTCAGTGGGGAAAGAAGTCTAAGCACTTAGCATGGTCATAATGTTGCAACTTCAAAACTGAGAGTAACAAATAAGTGGAAAAAATTCTCCAGACTACTTTGTTCCATCAGTTGGATGTGGGTTTTGTTTTTTTTTTTTTTGTGTGTGTGTGTGTGTAGCTGGAATGCCAGAAAATAGCTTTCTGATGAAATATTCGTATTCCCTTGCATGTCTTCAGTACTAACAGTGTTCTCCTGTTAATAAGTCAGAGTAGCTTCCTCCTCCTCTCTATAATCTTCATCATCTGGGCAGAGAGGAATTGTGTATGTATAGGGAATGCAGGATGTTCCCACTAGCGTGCATTGGCTTTGCAGTACTAACAGTTGAAATGCAATACAAAGTTATTCCCCTATTGCAGGGATTTTGCCTGCTCAGCTCAGAAAGGAAATTCATTTGTTGAATCAGTCTGATATGCTGTTTTCCAATGAGGTGTACCTGCAAAGGAACACTGGGCAAGTTAACTATCTTGAACTCTGACTTAACGTGGGTTATTGCTAAAAAGAAT